TTTTTGAGAAAACGGCTTGTTCTGTAATCCAGGCTGGCCTTGAACTGATATAAACTGGCCTCAAATTTGTGACACTCTTCCAGCCTCAGCCTCTCAAGTGCTGGGATTACAGGCATGTGCCACTCCACCCAGCGAAAATGTTTATGAAATCCTGGACATAACACATGACTAGCTGCGTGATTTCTAGTCGCTTAATTTCTGGGAGTGAAGAAAAATAAAAAATTGTTTCACAGATGATGTAAAAAAAAATGACAAGTTGTATGAAATAGCTTCGTTCGAGGCCAGTCTGGGCTACAAAGTAAGCGCAAGTCCAGCCTGAACTGCACAGTAAGACTCTGTCTCAAAAAGACAAAACAAAACAAAAAAAAAAAGTTCTGTCAGGTGCATTATGGTAGTTCCTGGACCACTAGAGCCAGAACTACACATCCCAGAATCCAAGGCGGCGACCCCTCACCATTACCTCATCCCCAGGCCTCACTCTCGCCAATCCCAGACTCTCTAGGTGTGGTAGCGTCTGTTCTCGCGATTTGTGCTTTATGCTTCTGCTGAGCTACCGCTATCGCGAGAGTTCCTGATCTGCCGCTCCCATTGCTGCCGCCTTGGCTGGGGACCTGGACCCAGCCTCTCCCCTACCCGGTTACCGGCCCCGGCTCTATCGAGGTTCTGGTCCCCAAGCCCTGACTCGCCGCCGCCATGGCGGACCCTAAATACGCCGACCTTCCCGGCATTGTGAGTACAGGGCCGGCCCGGGTTCCCAAGGCCGCGCCCCCGGCCTCCCGAAGACCCCCTAACAGATACCGGCCCGCGACCCTTCCCGCTTGTCGCCCTTCCTCCACCCCAAGGCCTCGTTCCGCTCGTTTTCCGAGCGTCTGCAGCACCTCCCGGACTTCTCACCAGACTGGACCGGGCCACCGGGCGGAGCTTCTGGCCCCCTTTCCGGTTGTTGCCGGTTTCCTGGCCCAGAAATCTTTGGGTGATTACACTTGTGCCCGAGATTCCTTGACATTCTGTCAACACTGATCGTGCCGCCCCAAATCTCCCTATAATGCCCCGCATTCCTGTCCCAGACATACTGGCCAGGCCACCTAGTGATGGCTTTCATACTGCCAAGGGAGTTTACGGTGGCAGAACCTTCTTGTGCCCCGTGAGGGACTCTGTCCTTTGGAGAACCTATGTGTCAGATCCTTCTCTTCAAATGCAAAAGCTGGCATGTACTCATCCTTTTGTGCTGCCTCGCCTGCATTCTGGGGTTGGGGGTTGGGGCACGGGACATCGGGAACTGAGAACCTGAGTGACTTTCAACCCTTGGGCCATGGGAGTGGTGTGCAGGGCCTAATTGAGGATGGCCTGCACCTACTTTGGACCAAATGATTACCAAGGACCCTGCCCCTCCATGGTGAGGGTAACATCTTTGTTATCACACTACTTACCATCTGGTCCCGGCT